CCGGCCACCTCCACCATCCACGGCAGCCCCTTCACCCTCACCATAGCCACCTCCTCCCCCCACCCTCCCTCACCTGCTCCCTCGACTACAAGCTCCTCCCTCCAGATCCAGATAAGCTCTTCAACAGGATATAGTAAATATCGGTCAAGACCTAGACACTTAAGAGTACTAGTATAAGAACTATAGGTCAAGACTATCTGTAGCAGTTCCTTCTTCCCCCCATTACAAATCAAGAGGAGTCGATGAACCTTCCAAAGACGGTGACACGTCGTAATCTTTTCAGGTCAATTGATACATTTTCTGATGGGAAAAAGGTCATGGAAGACAAGTGTGACTGGAACGGTTTGGGGGAGGGGGGGGGAGAGGGTGTCATAATAGGAACTTGGGAGCAGAATTCCTGACTTTTATCAGTAGAAAAGTACACGGAAAATCCACGTGACTTACACAACAGAACCAGATTGTACCGGATCTTAGTAGAAACAGTTTTACAGTGGCATGACATTGACAATGGCAATGGCAATCTTTATTCTTCTCGCAGGGATAAATTTGTCTCGGTCGTTTGCAATGGCAGTAGAATGTTACAAAGGTCAGGTGCACTCACGCATACACACTACAAGACAAGACATTTAGAGTCTAGTGTGAGCATCGGCTATGCCCAGGCCAGTGCTTGTCAACATATTTTTATGTATACATTTCTCAACCTCAGAATTACAAAGTTTTATCTGCTCAGAACTTAGTTTTGAGAAATCGGACGTCAAAGATTTTGAATTTCACATGTCAAACGTTTTCGAAAGCAATTCTTTGAAAATCTTGATAACGATTCCGAATTATCTAACGATTTTGATAGAGCAGATTATAATTGGTTTCTGACCTAATGGTCTTAGTAACTCAAAACGGCCAAAAATCTCAGAGCTTTGTAATTCTAGGGTAGCGATATAAATACATTATATTATATTGCAAACTCCTACTTTTACCACATTTATAAGGCTAAAACTTTCGTACCACTGCACCTACCCACATGTATTTTCACGTGGAACACAAACTAACAACTGCCCCTACCCCCCAGGAGATCCCCACCGCCTACCTATCCCCACCGCCCACCAAAATAATTAGACCTACCAAATGTCCCACTTGTGGGCGACAGAGCCCAGCTCGGAAAGCTCCGATCTAGATCCCTGGTGAGGCGAATACCGGTCGGCTACAGGATCCCTGTGGGTTAAAAATAGAAAAACTGCGGGCGTTATGGTTCGTGCCTTCCTCCCTGTTCGTTTTTTTAGTGTGTGCCCCGTATACCCAGGCACCACCCAGGCAAAGGTCACACAACTGGTTCAGACGTTATCTGCATGGACTAAAACGCGAATTCCCCCTCAAAAAGTCGGTCAGGGCTGCGGAGTTGTGAGGGGGTAGAAGTGTGTGTGTGTGTGTGTGTGTGTGTGTGTGTGTGTGTGTGTGTGTGTGTGTG